CCGGGAGCACGGCCAGGCAGCGGGACAGTGGGTGGCAGCAGTTTCCCAATCCCCAAGTGCATCCTCCCCACACCAGGCTGGAACCACCCCAGGGGGTCTTTCTACCCCTCCATGGCCATGATCTTCTGCCTGGGGGGGACACACTGCTTGCAGGAGCAATGCGAGCTGCCACCCGGGCCCTACACCTGAGGAAGGGACAGGAGCTGCCTGCCGCCCCGCAGAGCGCAGCCAGGGCAGGACTCACTCGGTGAAGGGTCCGTAGGGCAGCTGCCGGGTGTCCCGGTGCTCCTTCCACAGGGCCATGTCGCTTCGCATGGGGTACTTGCCCTCCTGCCGCAGCAGTTGCTCCAGCACCACCGGGCTCCCGATGTTGATGTTCTCGTAATGCCCGAAGGTGGACTTCCAGATGGGGCCGTAAATGCGCCGGGACATCAGCTGTGATGCACCAGGGCACAGCAGAGCGAACGGGACAGTGGGGTGGGGAGCAGAGCTCAGCACTGGAGCTAGATCAGTCCCTCCCTGCCCCAACCCTGCCCTGCATGTGTCCAGCATGCTCTTCACCTACCCCAAGGACCCCTCAGCACCAGCTGGGCCCAAGTACCCGCCTCTGACCCGCCAAAGCTGGCACCATCCTAGAAGCACTGCAGATGGCTTCGCCTGGTCTCCCTAGGCACATGTCCTTGGCCAGCACTAAACACACCAGGCACCGACCCCCAGCACAGGCTGGCACATCCCTCACCCACCCCAGAGACGCCTGGAGGGCCTCTTGGGTCTTTTAGGAAAGCAAGGCCAAGAGGGGACAGGAGGAACAGGGACAACTTCCAAGCACAGGGCTCTGCTGAGATGCAGGGCCATTGCACTGGCTGTCAGCAAGTCCAAGCTGCTTCCAGCATGGCCCCAGCTCTGCTCAACACGGGGACAACGGGCCCCACAGGGGTCCTTGAACCCGCCACCAGATAAGGGTGGTTAATGATCAGCACTGGGAGGGCAGCACCAGGCTGGGGCAGGACTGGGCTGCTCCCAGGGCAGGCTGCCACCCCCGGGGCATGTCCCTGGGGCCACAGGCTCACAAGTCAGCCAGGAGACATCCACCAGCATCAGTCTTGCTCTGGGCTCTGTCAGCCACAACTCCCCTCTCCTTGGCAGCACCCAAGGGTGCCATGCCCGCCTCCCCACCGGGGAGTACCATGACCCCCAAGCACATCCCTCGGGGGGAGACAGGCACCCCTTTGCAAGTGGATCTGCACAGATCTTTCCATCCCACCCAGGCATTGCCAGAGCCCCTGCGGAGTGGGGCCAAGCCCAAGGGGCTGCAGGGGACCTAGCAGGGAAGCCCTGGTCCCCGTTCCCCGTGGCTGCGGGGATGCACGTGGTACAATCTCCCTTGGTGACTGACTGCATCGCAGCCTGCGCCCGGATTCAGCTGGATTTGTCACCACGGGGAGACGTTCCACGCGGGTGGTGGCAGGAGGAGGGGGAGGGATGGCCGCCCCGGCACGGCACAGGCGTTGGAGAGTGGGGCCGAGAGAAGCTAGAGCTGCCAGAAACTGGGGGAAGGCACCTCCAGGGCACATGGGCATCTGTCCTCAAAGCCAGGCCGTGCTCAGAGCCCCAGGGGCAGGAGGGAGCAGCAGGGAGCTCCCATGCCTGCTCCCCAAGACCCCGCTGCCCTGCAACAGCCCCTTCTCCAAACAGCCCTGCGGTGCTGGGGAGGCCTGATCCTGCTCGGCTCCTCTCCTGGCCGGTCAGCGCTCCAGGGCGCTGGAAGATGCCGCCTGGCTCACGGCCAGCCAAGCCCATCGCTTGCTTCATCCGACGTATGAGGAAGTGTTGACAGAAGAAAACAAACACCTCTGCCTATCCCTCCCCTGTCT